CAAATCTAGAGTCCACCTCACTGACTGCATACTTCTTCCCTTTTCCAGGGCACATCTGTTTCCTCATTACCTTTTCATCTTCTTCTCTCCTATGAAATAAATGAGTATTTATAATAAATTATAATAATATTAATATTATAATAAATAAATAATATTTATTATAATAAATGAGCCTTGGTTATTCTCAAAATGGCGGCCTCACCTGAGCTAGAGGCAGTGACAGCAGTCTTAGAGAAAGGCTTAGTCAAATCCACAAGGAGCAGTGAGGGGGGATATCTTCAGGGCTGTTTCCACTTAGTAAGCCCTGTAAAATGAATTCTTTGAGGAGAGAAGTGTGACAACTAAGGATAGATGGAGTCACAAGAACTTCCCTGGGGCCCCAGATCTTACTGGTGGTGGTTGTTAGCATTAATCAAAGGATGGGCTTGAATGAGGTGGAGAAGATTTTATTCATCAAAATTCCCCAGTGAGACCACTCTATCTGTTCTGAAGAAATTCTCTGTTAAGATGCATGGAGTGGCGCACGCATGTGAGACCCCAAGGCAGGCTTGCTGTGTTTGAGATTACCAAGAGAAATTTGTCTTGCTGCAGGTGGGCAGAGGTAGGAGACTAGGAAGCTACAGATGGCTATGTCCTTTGAGATATGTCCCTTCCTTATGAATATTCCATAGGATTTACCAAGAAAAGAATGCAAGATATGCATGGATTTCTTCCGCAGACTGCCGAAGGGGCCAAGCTCTGGGAAAAGACAGCAGCAATCACCAAAAATGCACGAGTCCCAAGTGTGGAGGGAGCTGTGGGAATGGAAGATCCAGGAATCGTGGGGTTGGCTTTGGAATTTCCCAAGTATGCAATTTGCTGGTATTTAAGTCAAATTTTCCCTAGTTTTTCAAACTGGAAGGAGACCCCTGGATTACAGACCATATATGTAGTCAACATGTCAGGGGCTGCCAGGGCTCTGGGTCATTCTCCCTGAGTATGGAAGTCGGACAGTAACATTCAAACCAAGGTAACGAGAACTGCTAAGTGACCATAGTTAGCCAGGGCAAACAGGGAAGGACATGACAAGGCTGTCCTCACAGTGGGGCCTGCTTTTGCCGCTTGATGAAAACCTAGGGCTTCTGTTTCTAGGACCAGTAAGAGCAGTGCACATGTGCAGGCATTTCATCCTTGTTGAAGCTCTGAAAGCAAAGTAAGACATGCGTCAGCAATTATCCCTTCTCTCCTAGATGTTTATTCCCCTCAATACTCAAACATGCTCTCATACCTTCCTCCTAAAGAACAAAAAACAAAACAATCCTCTGCTAGCCCTATACTTTCCTCCAATACCAAAAATCAAACCTGTTGCCATTGAGTCGATTCTGACTCATACAGACCCTATAGGACAGAGCAGAGCCACCCCGTAGGGTTTCCAAGGAACAGCTGGTGGATTCAAACTGCCAACCTTTTGGTTAGCGGCCAAACGCTTAACCACTGTGCTACCAAGGCTCGCACTTTCTTCCAGCTACTGCTATTTCTTCTGCTCTAATTTACAGCAAAATTTCCTAAAAGTTGATATTAGTTGATGGCTTTGGGATCGACTCGATGGCAATGGGTTTGGTTTTTGTATGGGTCACAAGCTGACTGGCCTTGACCCACTCTGCCTGGGCTTCCTTCTCCAACATTCCACTGAAATGGCTCTCGTTAATGTCACCTATGACTTCCGTGCTCCCAGAACCAATGCTCACCGGTTCTCATCTGGCTGGACCTCTCAGCAGATTCCAACTTACACAGTTGATTTCTCCTTCTTCCTTCCAACACTCTCTTCTCTTGCTTCGTTCTCATCTGCTTTTCCTCCTCCTTCACAGGCCCTTTCTCAGTCTCCTTTGTTGGCAATTCTTTATCTAGATTCCAAATGTTGGAGTGTCCTAGTATCAATCCTGGGACCCTTTTCTTCCTCAAGTTATCTTCCAGACCCCTGAATTTCTATCCCATCTAAATGCTGATGACTCGCAAATTCATAACTTTGTCTGTCTACTTGACATTTCCACTTACATGTTTAATGGGAATGTCAAATTTAAGATGTAGAAAACTGGACATGTGGTTTATGTGCCCCATCTCCATTTCTGTAAATGATATCACAACTCACTCCAGTGCACCAGCCAAAAATCTAGGTGTCTTCTCTACTTCTTTCTCACACCCAGTAAATCTACCGACAAGTTGGATGTTACTTACCTTTAAAATGAATTTTAGATCCATCCACTTCTTTCCATCTCCACCATTACCACGGACCAGGCTACCATGGTTCTATATGGACTATAGCAACACTCTTCCAGCTTCCTGCTGCTGCCTGTGTCCCCATACAATCAAGTCTCACCCACCAGCTACAACTGTCCTCTTAAGATATAAATCACACCACCTCTGTCACTCCCCTTTATTGTCTTCCCAAAGCACTTAGAAAAATATCCACCTCCCCATACAGCCTGCCAGGCCTCCCACAACTGGCCCAGCCTGCTTTCTGATGCATTCTCTTCTACTTCTTGCCCTGTCCAGCGAGCCCCAGCTCCACTGCTCCCTGAACATGTCAGGTGTGATTTCCACCTCTGGGCCTTTGCAGAGCCCTTTCCTCAGGCTGGCATGCTCTCCTCCAGTTCTTTGCGTGGATAGTTCACTTTTGTAAATAGATCGTCTCTTCAGCAAGCCCTTTCCTAACCATCTAATCTCAAGTAGCCCATCTGCCACCACCAAAGTCCCTCTGTTTTAGGTTTACGGTTACACTCATTGCTATTTTTCCAAGTTTCTTCATGCTTATTTATTTAGTGGGTCACCCCAACTACAATGCCTATGCCACGAGATTAGCCTGTTTATACATTTTCTCTTCAAGGTGCCCCAGTCCCTCGTACAATGCCTGGCACAGAGGTGTTGACTGAAAGAAGTGAAGGAATGCGTGGAAAGACCACATAGCTCAGCTAGATGCTCAGGATTAAAAATTACAAAACCAAAAAACTCTCACACTTTCTTCAGTCCTTCTGAAGAACTAAAGGGTGAGGATGGTCACCTGAGGAACCACCATGACGTGGGAGCTGGTCCCTAGGACGAAAGAGTGCTCGAGGGTAAGCTCAGGGTTTCCATATTTGGTCTTGGAGGATACTGGTTCAACTCTGCACTAATGCTTTTTTAAAATGGGGGTAATTGTCATGGATTGAATTGTGTCCCCTGAAATATGTGTTGGAATCCTAACCCCTACACCTGTGGATGTAACCTTGTTTGAAAACAGGATGTTCTTTGTTAAGTTAACGGAGCCGTATCAGCGGAGGGTGTGTTCTAAACCGGATCACTTCTGAGTTATAAAAAGCAGATTAGACACGGAGACATGCACACATGTGGGGTAATAATATATGATGTTTCTCATTTAAAACTATCCAGTCTAAGCTTTCTGGATCAAGGCTAGTTGTGTCGAGCATATTCACCATGGAATTCCATATTGATGTACGCCAAGAGTGTACAATTAATAAATCAATTTGGCTGGGAAAATAAACCGTCTCAGGACTTTCTATATTAAGCTGTGAGAAGTCAGCAGACAGTACATTTCCTTATGCTATCGGGTGTTTTATATTCTGAGCCCAATAAAGGCAGATCACCTCAAGTCGTGTAGTTCTAACAGTTAGAAAATGAATTATTCATGAAGATGGAAAATACAATAAAGTAGACCTTCCAAAAAAAAAAAACAAACCAAACTCATTGCCATCAAGTCGATTCCGACTCATAGCGACCCTATAGGACAGAGTAGAACTGTCCCATAGAGTTTCTAAGGAGCAGCTGGTGGATTTGAACTGCCAGCCTTTTGGTTAGCAGCCGAGCTTTTAACCACTGCTCCACCAGGGATCCAGAAGAACTCAGGGTACATAAAATCAAATAATAAGTGGTGCAGTAGCTAAGAACTTGGCTGCTCACCAAAGGTCAGCAGTCTGAATCCACCAGCCACTCCTTGGAATCCCTATGGGGCAGTTCTACTCTGTCCTACAGGGTCGCTAAGAGTTGGAATTGACTTGATGGCAACAGGTTTCCTTTTCTTTTTTTTTAACTGATTCTGACGGATAAATGTCCCCAGTTATACATATTCCATGGAGATTAACTTGTTCAAAAGAACAAACTAGAAAATGTTTAAAAAAATAAAGACGTATATAACTTAAGATACAATTCTGAGATCCAAAGATATGCTCTCCCTCCGCCTGCCTTCTCTTCACTCTGCATTCCGGGGTCACCCTGGCTGATGCATCAATAACCCAGTTTTCAAAAGAAATGTGCAGGTTAGATTAATTAGGTGCTAAAGAATAAAAACTTTTCAGGAAATTTTATATTTTTAGTATGTTGTACCAAACAGATTAAAAGAGAGGAAAAAAATAAACTCCAAAACCCTACATTATCTTCTGACTTCCAGAAATGAACATCAACATTTTTACTGGAAAAAAAAAAAATCTTTTCCAAAAACTCAAACTCCCAAATCAACCCAACTGGGATTTTAAACCAGGTATGTATTAAAGGAAACTCCCTGCATAGTACTTAGCTCAGTGCTGGAAGACATTCCATAACTGTGAGTAGAAATAACATTTACCATATGACAGAAACTACATTTGAGATCTTTTATTGAACAGGCAATGCATTGTGTAATGGTTAAGGACACAGACGCCTAGTGGAAAACGTCTTTAAAAATTATTTTTGGAAACAGTCTATGAACTGATAACCCTGCTATGTTCCTTTCTCTTCTTCTCGGAGTGGCTAGCTTCCGGAGAACATTGTTTTATAGCTGCTCTTGGAAACAGCATCCCTGCTTGACCATAAACGTCATGCCTAGTGGTCAACATGAAAAAAGAAGACGGGGTGCACTGGCAAGACAGCGACCAGAGTCAGTGGGTTTATCTCAACGGACGCACAGGATACACATGCTCCTGGAACGCCTTCTCTTCTTGACTTGCAACCACGTTCTAGTTTTTCATCCACATTTCATTTCCGTTCTCCACCTTGACTGAGCGAGCCCTCCTTATTTAAGGGGATGCTAAAAAAAAAAACTCACATTCATCCGTTTGGCCACAACAGTACACGTTCCTGGCCTTCTTCCAAGTTGTTCTTGTTTTAGGGCACCTCTGGCCCAGGATTATGGCTCTGTTTGTGGTCCTCGTTTCGCCTAGTTCAGTCCTTCCCTCTAAGAGCTCTCTCTCCCATAACTTGATGATACAATCAGTCTTCAGTTTCACAGTTTGTCTGCCATGACTTCATGGCAGTTTTTAACTAGGTGGCTCGTGAAGGTAGCGCATATTCTTTATCAGCACACAGTCAACCTATTTTATAATTTGGGGCATGTCGCTCCAGGCTTGCGATTTCTTTCTGGCAAGTTCCATCCAGGATGGCTGATCCACGCTGGCATAACTGGCTCTCTTCAGGTGATTCAGCTCTTTCTCCATCATCACCACAGACTGAGCTGCTGGAAAGAAAACAAACAGAAACACGAGAAATGAGCTGCATTTTCACTTAAGCCTCTTGTGTTTCTTTAAAATGCCCATCAAGGTCCTGACTGTGTTCTCAAACATAAAATCCATTAATACGTGAACAGGTAAGGAAGACTTAGCGGCGAACAGGTAATGCATGTGACAAACAGGCTTAAGAACAGGCTCGTCCAATTCCAGCCACGCAGCAGGGCGAGATAAACTCCCACAATAAAAGCTGCAGGAACAACCCCAGATGCTGGTATCAAAGTATTTGTAGGATTTGTACATTTCATACCCAAGTTCTGATGGGACACTGAGATTCCTCTCTGCAGCCCCTCCGTGAGGTCGAGCTTTGTCCCGAGCTTCTGTTCCACAGGGGGCTTGGCAGGTACTATCAGGAAAGATTTGCTTCGGACAAAGTCGGCTTGTCTGGACTCCTACTGGGACACAAGAAAGACACACACCGTCTGGTCACCTGGGATTCAGACAGGAGGCTAACGTAACCAGAGTGAGCCAAACAGATTTACTTTTACCGAAAGGTTTCTCTTCCAAGACGAACCATGCCTGCTGGCACTTTCTTCAGACAGCTCTGGCTTGTCAACTCATTGACCCCAAGTCTCCCAAACTCTGGGGCTCAGACCAGTGCTGGGACTTACCTTGAGCCCACATGCGTGTCATGGCCTCTTCACTGTCCTCACACCTGTCCTCAGCCCCAGATGGCTTGATTGCAGGGACTCCACTTGAAAATCAAAGTTAACTGTGCTTGGAAATATTTTTGAAAACTTTTTGATACTTGGTGTGAGTGATCACTGATGCCCCAAACTGGGAAACACTGATTAGTATTTCTTTTATTAAATCCCTAAGCCTGCCTGAGGCTTCTTTTTTAAAATTGTGCTTGAGGTGGAATTTTACAGGGCAAATCAGTGTCTTACTAGACAATTAATACACATATTGTTTTGTGACATTGGTTGCCAACCCCGCAACGTGTCAGCTCTCTCCCCTTCTCGACCTTGGGTTCCCCACTTCCATTCTTCCAGCTTTCTGTCCCCTCCTGCCTTCTCGTCCTTGCCCCTGGGCTGGTGGGCCCATTTAGTCTTGTATACATAGCTGACCTACGTCTGTTATTGTTTGTTTTCTAAAAAACAAAACCCATTGCTGTCGGGTGGATTCAGACTCATAGGCCTGTCTAATCTTTGGCTGGAGGGTGAACCTCAGGAGTGACTTCAGTATTCAGTTAAAATGGTGCCCAGGGGACACACTCTCGGGGTTCCTCCAGTCTCTGTCAGACCGGTAAGTCTGGTCTTTTTTCTGGATGTTAGAATTCTGTTCTACATTTTTCTCCTGCTCTGTCTGGGACCCTCTATTGTGATCCCTGTCAGAGCAGTGGGTGGTGGTAGCCGGGCACCATCCAGTTGTGCTGCGCTCAGTCTCGTGGAGGCCGTGGTAGTTGTGGTCCCTGATGTGAGGCTTTTTAAGCATTGGTACAATCTGGAGTTTTAAAACAAAGGGACACACGTCCTCCTGCAGGCTCAGGCTCACCCTGCCATGCTACTGAACACGCGTACGGGTTTACCGCGGTGGCTGCTAGGGGAATATGAAAGCGGGAGTCTTGGCCTGCTTCGAAGCACAGTTGTCTGAGTTTGAGAAAACTGTTTCCAGTCCAGGAAGCAAAAACGAAGCCCCAGTGGCAGCCCTGCAGCCCCAGGTGAGAAGTAAGGAGCCCCAGCAGGCAGCCAGCACAGCAGCAAATGCGGGGCTCATTTATCACCCAGCAATGAGCCAAGATGGAGCAGCTGACACGGTCGCTGCGTGGCTCACCGAGAAGTTATTTTAACCTCGTTTCCTTTCTCCAGATGCTGAGCTGCGTTGCCTAGGAGGCAGGAAGCAGAGAGCTGTCTTCACAGCCTAAGTGACTCACTCGCCTCTCCGCCTCCCCAGCAGGCCGGCACACGCACTGGGCGGGCTTCTCCACAGTGGAGGTTTTAAGGGGGTGAATCCTTTATGGGGCTTCACTGAGCCTCTGCCCACCCCAGCCATCATGACAGGCGATGGTCTCAGTGATGTCCGTGCAGGGGTGCCGTCAGCGACGGTCCAGCCCCAGCGGGCTACTCCCTCCTGGACCTGAAATGGAAAGTGTCTGCGCACCTGGGCTCTCTCGGGAGTCTTGGCCGGCTTTCCCACTTCAGACTTCAGGCTCTGCACCCCAGGCCTGTCTTCCTGGTTGGGTGGCTGGTCCGGGGCCCCTCGGCGCTTCTGCCGAGCGATGGTGATCCAGGATGGCATGGGCTGACCATCGGCTCCCGGGCCGGCTGCTGCAGGAGACAGGCCCTTTGCTGTGGGTAAAGGCACAAGGTTATGTAGAGTCCCATCCCCTCGTTCAGTCCCGCCTTCTGCTTTTCCCACATGGAGAACGCTGTACTGCTCTGGCTCAGGCCGGGCCAGGGGAAGGGCAGGGCTGAGGGTCTGAGAGCCTCTCTGGTGAGACTTTTGTTTTTCTTCAGCAGGCTTTGTGTTCTTATTTCAACTTGCCCAGAAGGGTTCTTATTTCAGGTGTGCCTCGACTCTGAGCCACAACAAATTAAATGCAGCGGCTCCTGCAAGATCAACGTCCATGTTAAAGCCAGCTTCCTCCTAAGGTAAATCCCTTCCGGAGTGAGAGAAAATAAGTAGTAGATTGAGATAACCCTGTCACTTAGGGCCGGCACATACCACCTGGTCCCTGATTTGCTTGGAAATCCCATACACGCTATTGTTCCCCGCCCCACACCGCCCCGCTCCGCCTTTTTTTTTTTAAAAAAAGCTGTAAGCACAAGCTTCTGTTTGTGGAGAGTGAGGCCGTAACCAGCCACAGTTGTTTCCTTTTACCTTCTAATGAGAAGAGAAACGGTGCCTTTTAAACCATAGCCTCATGCTGAGGATCCTTCCGCCTTAGCGGTGCTTATCTTTGGGTGCTAAAACTGTGGGTTTTTGTAGGAAATAGCGTTTTTGTAGATGTAATCAGCTAAACCGACATGAGGTCGTACTGGAAGTGTGATGGGTTCCAATCCAATACAACTGGTGTCCTTGTAAGAAGAGGAGAAGACACACAAAGACAGAGACACACAGAGGGAGGACGGCCGTGTGAAGGCGGAGGCAGACCCTGGGGTGATGCATCTAGACGCCACCTTACAATCTGGAACGCCAAGCATTGTCAGGAACCACCAGAAGCTGGGATGAGGCGAGGGTGAATCCTCCCCTAGAGTCTTGTCTGTTAGTGCCGCCATGACAAAAAATATCACAAGGAGGTGGCTTTAAAGAACAGAAATTTATTTCTTCACGGTTCTGGAGGCTAGAAGACTGAATTCTGGGCGTTGGCTCTAGGGGAAGGTCCTTCTTTGTCTCTTTCAGCTTCTAGCAGCTGTGGGCAATTCTTGGTGTTCCTGGGCTTGTAGATTCCTCAACCTCCGTCTTTACATGGTGTCTCCTCATGTGTGCCTGTCTCTCTCTGTCCGCATGCCCCTTCAGACACTGCTCAGAAGGGATTAGGACTAGGACCCACCCTACTCTGCTATGACCTCATTAACATAACAAAAGAAAACCCTATTTCCAAACAGGATTACATTCACAGGTACAGGGGTTAGGAGGAGTTCAACATACATGGTGTTGTTGTTGTGTGCCGTCAAGTCAATTCTGACCCATAGACCCTACAGGACAGAGTAGAACTGCCCCATAGGGTTTCCAAGACTGTAATCTTTATGGAGAAGGACATCATGCTTGGTAAAGTAGAGGGTCAGTGAAGAAGAGGAAGACCTTCAATGAGATGGATTGACACAGTGGCTGCAGCGATGGGCTCAAGCACATCAATGACTGTGAGAATGGCGCAGGACTGGGCAGTGTCTTGCTCTGTTGTACACGGGGTCGCTATGAGTCGGAACTGACACAAAGGCACCTAACAACCACCACAGCAATCTTTTCGGAAGCAGATTGCCGCATCTTTCTCCCATGGATCATCTGGTGGGTTCAAACAGCCAAGCTTTCAGTTAGCAGCCGAGCACTCAACCACTGTGCCACCAGGGCTCCTTAACATACATGTAAGGGGACACAATTCAACCCATAAAAAGCCTTCAGAAAGAGCATGGCCCTGCCAACATCTTGATTTCGGATGTCTGGGGCCTCCGGAACTGTGAGACACTAAATTTCTGTTGTTTTCAGCTGCCCAGTTTGTGGTACTTTGTTGTGGCGGCCCTAGGCTGCAGTCTCCACCCGGGGCTGAGAAGGGCTGTAGGCTTCACATGCACAGACCTCTTCTTGGCTCTGAAACAGCTCCCACTTTTCTCTTGGCTGCTCCCTGAGACCTCCACCCAACTGGTCCCCTGGGAACCTAGCTCCATCTCTTTGACTTATCACTTGTCCCTTCTTGCCTCTTCTCTCTCCTGGCCACTGACTTCTTCCCACTCTTCAAAGACAAATAGTCACACCCTGTAGCCCCAGCTCTCAATTCTTCTCTACCTTCAACTCAAAAAACCTCTGTGTATCTCTCTTCAGCTGGTTCCTGACCCAGCTGCAATATGAACACTGCTCTCTCCATCCTCCCAACAACTAAGCCAGCCATCCTAAAGCCTCTTCCCTGTTCTCGACCTCCTTCACTTCTCTGTAGCTCTTACAGGGCCACGTATCCTCTCTTGGGAGTCCTGGCCTCCCTGGGCACCCCCACCCCCACCCCCAGCCTCTGAGGCTCTTCTCTGGGTCCTTGCCCTGCTCTTGCCCTTAAACCTGTGAAGGCCTCATTGTTCCTGACCCTCAGCCTTCATCTCTTCTTCCCAGAATATTCTCTTTCCACTCTCCTGATTTCAACACTCAAATTTGCTCAGAATACTTTCAAATATACAGCCCAGCCCTGCTTCTATTCTTAGTCAGAGCCCATTTCTACCTTCTTGCTCTACCTTCCTTTCCTTTCCATCCATCCATCATCCATCCATCCATCCATCCATCCATCCATCCATCCATCCATCCATCCATCCATCATCCATCATCCATTCATCCATCCATCATCCATCCATCCATCCATCCATCCATCATCCATCATCCATTCATCCATCCATCCATCCATCCATCCATCCATCCTTCAATCCATTTATTCATTCAACGTTTGCTACGGGCAGGACTACCTTAAGTGCTGAGGTGGAAAAATAAACAACAAACTGTTCCTTAAAAAGCTCAAAGTCTAGGGGGAATCACTAGATAGAAATAATTGTGCTGTAAACTAAAAAAATGCTAAAATTTACAAAGTGCTATGTGGACACAGTGCCTAACACTGTTGGGTGGGAGGTGGGGTGCCATCTGGGGTGGATGCTTAGAGGAGAAAAAACTTCCCAGGCTGAGAGCGGGGGCCAGGAAAGCCCTCAGGTGGAGGGAACAGAATATGGAACTGTGTGCACGCTCGCCCAGAGTGGCTGAGAGGCAGGCGGGGTGCCAACTGGGAGGGTTTTCTCTGCCTTTTCTCTGTCCATAATTGGGATACACTGGGGTTTTCAAGGAGTCCCTGGGTAGCACAGTCAGTTAAGCGCTCAACTACTAACCAAAAGGTTGGCAGTTCGAACCCACCCAGAGGCTCCTAAGAAGACATGTCTGGTGATCTGCTTCTGAAAAATCACAGCCTTAAAAACCCTATGGAGCAGTTCTACTCTGACACACATGGGGCCGCCATGAGTCAGAACTGACTTGACGGCAGCTGGGTTGGCTTGGCTTCGGGGGTTTTAAACCATGGGTACACTCTGGAGGCCGTGGGGATATTTACTCTCCACACGAAGAAGCAGGAGGAAGGAGAGGCTGTGGCCGCAGTCCAGGGCAAGTGACGAGGGACTGGAAACCCTGCCACAGAATCATCTCAGCTTTCCCACCAAGGCCTCACCAGAGACTACCTCCTTCACTACTCGTGTCTGATCACTCTAGGTGGACAATCTCTCCTTCTCCTAATTCTTTTGTAACTCTCTTGACACATTTACCCAGTGCATTTGGTACTAGACATATTTGTTAACCAATCATCTACCTCCACTGATATATGCTTTTTGGTCATAAGAACTTATTTATTTAACAAACATATGCCACTGGTGGCACAGTGGTTAAGAGCTCAGCTGCTAACCAAAAGGTTGACAGTTCGAATCCACCAGCTGCTCCTTGGAAATCCTATGGGGCAGTTCTACTCTGTCCTATAGGGTCGCTATGAGTCAGAATTGACTCAACAGCAATGAGTTAATGGGTTATGCCACTGACTACATACTAGGTACTGTTCTTAACCACTGTGCCACCGGGACTCCACTGCAGGATGATACGTATGTGGCATCCATTTAAATAAAATGACCCGAACGTATTTCTTTGCTTACCTCTTCCTGCCTCGATACACAGACAATCTTAACCTCCTGAAGGGCTCTGACAGCTCAATGTTTCCTCCCAAAATGACCACAGGTTTAAGCTGTCACGGGTGCCTGGGCTTGCACTGAACAGGCCAGGAGCATGTCTCACAGACGGGAACCCGCCAACACTCTTGTCTGTATCTGTGTGATCCCCTTTACCGGAGTCTGGAAGATGCTGACTCCCCAAAACATAACTGCTCCAAACAGAAAAGCAGCACATTTCCTCCGAGGTACAGCAGACGCAGAGTGAAAATTCTGGAAGGCATAAAGCTTTAGATACGCGAAGCTTCAACAGCCACAAAGGTCACCCTGAATAATTTAATACCATATGAAAGCAACTTTTGATCAGAGAAAATAATAGACATTTTTTGGTATTTAAGGCTATGGCTCCTTCAGAGGAGGGGGTGATGGAGAACTGTTTATAAGTCTGTTCTCTTTTCCGGAGCCCTTCCTTCTCCTTGAGGTCCCTGGTGGCACCAACAGTTTACGATCATCTACTAACCGAGAGGTTGGTGGTTCGAATCCACCCAACAGCACCGTAGAGGAAAGACCTGGCGATCCGCTCCCGTAAAGATTACAGCCAAGAAAACCCTGTGGCGCTCAGTTCTACTCTGCAACACATGGGATCGTCATGAGTTGGAGCCGACTGGACCACAATGGGTTTGGTTTTAGGTTCCCTTCTTAACATGCTTCCCTACCAAAAAGAAATATTTGGAAAAGTATATTTTCAAGCATTAATTTCAAAGACTCTATTCTTGGCAGGCTCAATGGGTTTTGGCAATGGGGGACGCTTCCTCCCTGGGACCAGGGTGACGGAGTTGCTTCCGCTCCTCTCGGAGGCTGCAGATCTAGGCTTATGGTCTCATTCAGCCTCAGGCTAGCAGTGTGCTCTTGAGCCAATTCCAGAACCTCTCTGCAATTCATTTCAATGTAAAATGAGG